TATACACATTTTACTACGAAATAACCAAATGTATAAGTAATGAGATTTATGCCTTATAAGATTTTTATATGATTTATTTGTATAGCAATAAATATTAGATTAATTTATGATGTACTGATAAATATGTACATATCTAATTATTTTGTTACTTTGTAATATAATTTAATGTTTTTAAATAGTTAGTAAGTTATTTTATTCAGTTAATGACCCATCACTTTATTATATTATATTTTTTTAACACCTAGAATTCTTAATGGCTAGGAATAGTTGCCAACAATTTCATTTAATGCTCTTTGTATATATATATATATAACTCTACCTTGTCAGTAAAAGGAAGATAAAAAGCATTTATAATGCATCTATTAAGTCACTAGAAGAACCTTTTAGTCACGACCGTATTATCGCTAGTCCACCTCTTTGATTGTTCTTCATAAATCAAGAATTCCTTTTAAGTTATTAAAGTGAAAAGTTGAGTTTTCTCTAATTAAGATTGAGCTTCAAAGGAATTTATATTTATGGCCATTGTAACAAGTAAAAGGATTGGAATTAAGGTATATTAAGGCAAACTTCTCTTTTTCATATCGCATGAATTCCAAAAATATATAAATCACGGAACAAGTTATTTTTACTATTCTATTGCTAGAAAAACCCTCTGAAAAGGGCATCGAGATGTCAACTGGTGTCGTTTCTTGATTGTATCGTGTCGTTATCATACTTGTATTATTGTGTAGTATGTTTGATGGCTAAAGTTATTTTTCATCGAGTTTGTAATTCCTTACGTCCATTAGTGAGCTATTGTCTTAAGTGTGAGGCTAAAATGTTGCACCTAAGAGGGGTTATTAAGCCACTTTTCTCGTCAAAATCTTTTACAAAATGTTATTTGAAAATGATATTAATACCTAACATCGTACTCTATTTTTTGTGATATACTTATCAAGCAGCCATGTCTCTAGAAAGGGTTGTACTATTACCAAATTGAAGTCGTTCATAAATCAAGTCAAGCTTGTTAGTCTCCTTTTGAGTTCCTAAGTGAATAATTTTCTAAGCTGAAGTTGAGTCAAGATCTTCAAGTCTATTATGAGTTTTGTAGGCTTAAATGATTGTATAAAGTTTAATAAAGTCATGAGGAGATCTTTTCAGCACCTTAAGATACTTGTAATTATCCTCAAGTTTAAGTTAGCTTTCTAAAGTCGAGTTAAGTGTTCCGATTTATTCTCCAAGCATTTGAGGTTCTACGAGACAATTACATGTTATACTAAAGTGATACGGGATTATGAGAAAACAAGAACCAATGGGCCAAGATTGACAATATTAATATGGTAACATATAGTCATTACAAATCCATGACACGACATGTTATGCCTTCTACTCTTGAGCTATAATCGAGAGGTATGAGGCCTATTGCCTATATTTATACATATGAGATAGAGTTGGCCACAAGTTAATGAATATGATGTTGGTTAGCTTCCAAAAGGCAACACCATTGCTAGCATTTGGTTGGGTATGTCATGCATTTTCATTTATATATATATATA